AGGATCTTGGACACAAATCAATTTTGATGCTTACCAGTTCAACAAATACACCATATTACATACTCTTTATTTTGTGTCTCAAACGGCTGTCTGCGGATGACAGTTTTGAACTATTCCTGAGAGGATAGTCAACTGTTTAAATTATGATCATCTGCTTTATGAACAATTTTGATATTTCCTTTTGTTCTATTGGCAACATATGGACATTAAGCATTCTAATATGTGGTTTATATGAGTTCTGGGTGCTATATTTAATTTCTTTTTATGATCAGTGAAAAGAATTATAGATTTTCGTTAAAAAAATATTTTATTATATAATAATATAAAACAAATTTGATCAGATCTCGCAGCAATTATATAACAATCTCTAGTAGAAAATATTCTCTTATAAAAATCTAAGACTGAGCATTTACAATTTTGACCATCTAATATCAAACATGACAAGATGACAACCAATTGCTTTGGATGCAAACATTCTGAAGGCTTTAGACATTCAAATACAGCCAATCAGAGCACTTGAGAGTACAAACTGGTTAGGATTTTCTCTACTATGTTGGTTAATGTTCAATAGTCAACAATTGTAAATGTTCTTGGTTAATAAAACTGTACAATATATGAATACTATGGCTATAAACAATTATATATATTTTAAAGATGATATAAAGTGGAATAACTCCTTTTATTTACAAGTAATTGAGCTTACTGTGTTACCTCCCTTGGGATTGTAGTTATAATTACATATTTTAAATTGTGAGATTCATAAAAATTTAATTGAAAATGAAAGAATGGAACAATCTTATCATAATGAGTCTTTAAAACGAAAAAATACAGCATATTTTATAGTTGATTCAGACTTCAGAAAGAGACAGAATAAGTCATGTAAAAAGAAAATTAACAAACTGTAGAAAGGATTGAACTAAGATAAGATACTTAAAGTTGCAATTTTGTAATAAAGATATAGGCCTACATGAAAACAACTCCTTTCATAATGCTTGAAAAACCTCGATTGATGATCCTTTCAGAGTTTCTTTCATTTGGTAGCTAGAATGGAATTCTTTATGTACATCTGTAAAAAGATAAACATAGAATTTTGACAGTCCAGAATTCCCAATTCACAGTAGGCCTACAGAATATACGTGGCCTGGCTTTTTTCGACTGACAAATTAAAAGTTATCTCCCTTGTTAACCTTAATTGCTTGCTCTTCATTTGAGAGGTGTAGCCACGAACCTAGCCTTGTCTAAGGTCTGTCATTACTCCATAAACTTTTCAAAAATGCTCTCCACTTACCTATTAACGAATTATTTAAAACTGGGTATCGGAACCATGTTTACTGGCAGGTGCTGGAAAATCAGGATCAAAACTTGGATTTTCGTAAATATCTTGATATAACATTTCTTGTCCTGTAATGAAAAACATGCAAGCCAGATGTAATAAGGATAAATATAGCCTTATTGTGCCGTTTAGCAATGAAAGCAAATATATTGAGCGCAAAGAGTAACTTTAACATAAAATAGAATAACCAACCAATCCTGATGAATATAGCAATGTTGTGAGCTAAAGACTTGACCTGAGTTTAGAAATGTCTGTTTACAGCCAATGTTAGAAACATCAGGTCTTTGACGATAACAAGAGACTACCTACCTCCATTTAATTCACTCTTTTCATCTCTGTATGAGCACAAAATTATCATCTTGCGTAATGGTATACATATTAGTAACGCTGTAGCATTTACAAAATTACCAATCGTCACAGCTGCGTCTCGGTATGTCGGTCCAGCATTGGTGACCACAATCATCCACACGAACATACAACCAGCAGTACAGACAGCACTAATGCATATCCAGCGAGATTCATAGTTGTTCCTGTAACTTTCCCACGATAATCCCGAGAAAATTGCTGTTAGAAGTACCAGGAACATAATGAAGATCATGGACAACACGAGTCCAACGTCGTACTCGCTCGGGGGATCGCACCACCAATAATCGTGAACATCACTGTTATATAATTTGGAAGCTGTAGGAGTTACCAATATCAACCACTCAATGGGTATAATTGCTTGAATCAAAATAATGGCTATTGCCATGAGTAAAAAGGCAAAGGAACTTGTGAGTCCGTGATACTGTTCAGGAGCATAATCACTATCTTTACGGAACCAGTTATCTACTGCTTTAACTAACAACGGTCCCAATACGATCGCGTACACTATACCCATGAGTAAACGCCGAGTCGTGCAAGTTTCTAATGATGCTGGGAAGAAAAATGCGAAGTTCAGAACGTAAATTAAGATAATGCCAACAATAGCCAAATAACCAAGAATAGAAGTTCCTCCACGATTTGGATAAGCAATTATAAGATAAACAAAAACGATGACGGATACTAAAATTCCAAGACTGCTAAATACAGCAACAACTATTGCCCACAGTGGCCATTCGTACAATTTAACCCCATTGCTGTAATAGTACCAGTTTCTTGGTTCTGTTGGAGTTTCAACTCCCCCTGTTTGTTCAGATGATGTAGGTGACGACGCAGCTACTGGTTTGACTGGACATCTACAACCTTCTGTTTCTACACCATCTTCATCTTTTGGGCAGGAGGAAACCCAACCACCTAGTTTATCGGCGTCAGAATCTTGGCCACTGTTATAATCTTCAAACTACAAAGAAGAGATTAGACTCCAAATAACATTAGTAACAAATTCACTTATGATCTAATCTAAACTTCATATTAAAAGACATTCTACCACACGATGTCTTCAATCCTGCAGGTCTACTTAACATTTAAACTTTCAGCTCAGAATACAGCTTAGTCCTTTCGCATTTTCAATGCTTGTTAGACATTAATGAAGTAGCAGTGTGTAAAAATTTTCAAGGTACCGTATATTATTAAATAAATGTATTTATAGCACAAGCTTAATGAGTTGAAGAGTTGAACGTAATGCTAATGCTTAGAAAATTGGTTTGTATTTTTTGAATTCATAATATTTCTAAAACAAGGATTACACCCTCTACTGACATTATTTGAACAAGAAAATTGACTTCACAGTAATTACTTAAAAAACCTACATTTACTCAAAGAAAAGGTTGAAAAGTTGTTACTTGTTACTTACTTTTCTTACAATATACCCAGTACTCCAAAACTGCTGTTTGTTGAAGCTGAGTTCATACTTGTCGTCTGGATTTAATGTCATCAATTTGTCTAAGTCCGTCTTATAGCTAAGTATTTGGGTTCGTATCAATTCCCTTGCATTTGGAATATTATTAATACAATCGGCAAGGAGTTGACCTGCTCCGCAGTTGTCATCCATGAATTTGTCGACGCCTTCGGCCATAGCGTAGGTACCAGCGATTGTGTTGAGGATGTATTCATTGTTCATTTTAGGTTCGTCTAGCGTTTCCTTCTTATTACAAAAGTTTACAAAATTCAAATTGGGACTAATAGCATCTACTAGCTTACATTGGTGAGTCTGTTGATAAAACTCTTCGAACCACTCTCTTGGAATGTTCTTGTTATTCCTGGTATCTGCTGATTCTTCGTACGACAAGGTTTTCATATACTCCCTAAAAGACTCGACAGCACTGGATTTGCGATAAATAATTAAACCTTTAAATGTGTAACCGGTTGGAAGATTTAGCTTCATTTTGAGTTCGTTCATATCACTAGCCCATACATTTGTGAATACCCAGAAATACTCTTTCAAATAACCCAAATTATTAGCAGCCATTAACAATGTTCTTGTGTCCTCTAATGTAGTGAACAGAACGATAACTCTTGCGCTGTTTGTGTCAAACTGATCTCTAAGAGCATTCAGGGCTGTGTCATCATCCATTTGTTTGGTAGCCATAACGGGATTTCCCATACAAACATCATTAGGCGTTACCAGTTCACTAAAAGTTTTGTAAGCATCATTCTCGTTGGAATCAAATGAGACAAAGGCAGTGATGTAGGTCCATTTGTTTTCTTTGAATAAATCGCTGATTTTCTTGAGAAGTTCGCTTCGTGGTTGAATGGTTCTCGCCAAATAATTGTATCTCTTTAGATCATTGAATCTTACAGCGGTTGCACTAGGACTAACATAGGTGTATTTCAAAGGCTCCAGAACTCGGGCTGCTGATTCAGTATTGTCATCATTTGCTACCAACAATCCGCCAACAGATTTAGCAAATACAGCAGGCGTAACATCGTACATTGAGTTGCAAAGTTTATTGTATGCCAGAATATTATATAAGTCTTGTTCAACACGTAGACTGTTGGAACATGTGTCCAGTACAAGTCCACGAATATTATTATTCGATCCACTCAATAAATTATCCATGGTGTACAAGAAGGCAAGATACTCCTGAAAGCCTCCGTTGATGTCGAGTCCTCCACACCGGAATTCATCCAAACCCATCTTATGGATATCGAACACAGAAATGAATGTAAGGCGCGGAGTTGGTGTTGTTTTTCCCAATACGGTGTATCTTTGTTGTCTATTTCTGACAGTTGGACACTCAGAACAGGCATCATCTCTCTCACAACTTCCGTCCCAATTTGGTTTGTATTGAGAGTCGACATCCAATGCTCCTTTATCATAACTTCCTATCTGCAACGATATACATAATGCATGTTAGACATTGTAGTTTCAGATATACCCTAAAAGCTTCACTGGAACGAATCACAAGAAAATATACATGTACATGTACATCTCAAAGCTATAAGAATAAGATATCCTGTATATAAAAGAGATTCATTAGATCCCGTCTGCTTAACCATAGGATTGGATACATTTCTGGCCCCAATTGGGCCTCTTATTGAAAGATATATGAAAAGTAGTTCAGAGTGAAAAACTTAATGCATTTTAATTGACGAGTTGATTGAAAATAGTTTCAACAGACAAAGAGTAAGAGTCGGAGTCGAGCACGCCAAGGCTCACGTAATCTTTGAAACAGCATTTTTTTTTGTTATTATTAAGTTTTCACGGTAATAAATCTAGGACGGAATCAATAAAATGAATGTAACATTACATACGTACCTTTTTATAGATATATCCACTCGTAACTGATTGAATGGTTATTGAATAGAAGTCATAACCTTTATTGCCTTCACGATTTTCAAACTTAAAGTTTGTTTTTGAAAGATCTTCAAATTCCACACTGTCCAACTTTTTCAACAAGACGTCTCTTCGGTCATTTCTGTTCTTGTAAGCTTCACAAACTGTAGTATAACCTTCCCCACAGACTTCAGTTAACGCCTTATCCAGAGCTAGAGCTGAAGAGAAGACTGCGTTGATGACGTGAAGAACTCCTGGATCTTGCCTATACTGTGTGCTCAATGGAATGCTTCTTGCAGTTTGAGCACATTCCTTCTGACGATTGACAGAGGGAACTGACAGATAGCAGTCCCAAATTTCTTCATAATATTCACTAAACCATGGATTCCCTTGTGAGTTGAGTGGAGTTTTCTTTCCAAGGTACTCATCAAAGACCTTCAAGTTAACTGTTTCTAGACCAAGGCTGACTGAACCACTGGCGTACTTCTCAGAACCAATGATGGCATCTTCACTGTTTCCCCAGGTTTCTGATCCAATAAATTTGAAAGGACTGGTGTCACCAGCAACTCGGCCTACAGCTTTCAATAAAGCATTTATATAGTTGGTACCAGCGAAGACCACAACGGTATTAGCTACTGGTTTTTGTAGCAAGGCTGTTACTACATCATTGGATATTTCATTCGACACAATGCCTTCATCAGGGTACGAAACCATCTGAGCTACGCAGATACGTTTTCGAGAAGCCGCCTCCTCGAAAGCTTTTGATCCAAGAATACCATAACTAGTATCTGTATAAAGCACCTGTACATAACGTATATTGTGCTTGTCTAGGAAATCGACCATCGCTTCAGCTTGGTTGTCGTCAGCGGGCACGGTTCTGTAGAAATATGGATATCTAAGTTGATCTTTGAGTTGAGTGGACGAAGAGGCGTAGCTGACTTGTGGTATGTTCAGATCATTCAAGATTCTGTTAACATAGATTGAGCTATCACTGCTATATGTTCCAATGTAAGCATCGATTTCTTTTGGATCTATGGTTTTTCCATTTTTGACTAAGCTAACCATACCGTTATGGATATTTGAAACCAGAAATCCGCTTCGTATGTCACTCTGACAACCATCTAGACCAATTCCACCAACTTGGACTCCCTGAAGTTTATCAGCAAAGATTCCTTGCTTATTATTTACCAATCCGAGGGCGTAGTGGAAAGCTTCCAACAGCTGGAATCCATGTAAAGTGTTCACTTTTCCACATAAGAAAGGGTTGACGGATTTCTCGTGGACATCAAACAAGCCTGAAAAGTAATTGAAAGAAATTGTGGGATGTGATAGAAGATAGAAAACACTATGAAAGTAGATCGTACGGTAATCTAGGAACATATGATTCTCAACCATTACTGGTTTAAGAAAATTTTGAGATGAATCTTGTTGCTAAATAGTAAGATATAGCTATACCTACCTCCTAATATAACGTCTCCTGGAACATAAGTAAACGTGACACCAGACTGTATGCATTCAATACACTGTTCTGTACAATCGGCCTTTACATTTCTGTATATATTCTTCAGTGAATCATCTAGTTTAATTGATGTTCCTCTGTAGGTTCCAACCTGAAATGATACGTTTCATTTATTTGACAAAACTGACTGTGTATGAAGTGGGCGCTAAATGTATGTGGTCTGCTTGAACACTCTTAAATTACCTGAATAATCTCTGTCTGTAACGAGCCGCGTTATTGACTCTAAATACTTTAGTGGATAAAACTAAACAATTTGACTATGAATTAGCTTATTTGGGAGGTTTTCGACATGTGAAGCATGATATAACAGTAAAGTATGGAGGCCTAATGTATGTTTGCATAGTTCTGTACATCTACTATACATCGTCTTAAGCCAGTTATTTGACGTATCCGATTTCGAGTTAAACATAATTATTTTTTAAAAAGGGATTTATGAAGGATATGGCCGGGACCAAGCTTGAACTTCGTGTTATGCGGAACTTGTCTTTGCCGTTGTCGACTTATCGAGTTATTACTGTATAAAATATGGATGCACGCCACAGCCTTCTGTTTTATAATAACTAACCCTTTTCACAACATGGATGATTATAGTCTAAAGCAGTCTGTGGAATTTGCGTAAGATTCTTCATTAAATAAGAAAATTAAAAATCACCTGTTCATAATTTTTTCCATTCCATCTTCGAACTACGTAGGGAATATTACCATCTTTGTCTTGGAATCTGAACTCGTGGTTAGCTGGATCTTTAAAAGTCACTCTGTTTAGATTTTGTTGAATCAAATCGTTGATGTTTCTGTGATTACTGTAAGCGCTGCACACTGAATCATAATTCTCATCACAAAGTTGTTTCAAAGTGGCATCAATAGCTGCCACAATAGAGTAAACGGAGTCCATAGTTGAAATAACATAGTTATCTTGTTTGAAAGAAGGTGCTTCAGTAATAGATTCCAAATTGCCTCGACAATTTGGACGACTAGCTTTGTAATAGCCCGGAAGGTTACATTGGTGTAAATCACTGTAATATTTTCCGAAGAAGACGTTTTCTGCGTATCCCTCTGCTGTTTTCTTTGTTAAATAATCTTGGTAGCCCTTCAAATTTGAACTAAGTACGTTAAGGCTCAGCATATTGTTTGCTGCAGTTCCAAAGCTAGTACTGAATTCTTCTGGACTGATGAATATTAACGATGATGCTGCTGGGTTCCTGCCCTTGGCATTCAACAAAGATCTAAAATCACTGGTGGAAAGATACACGACAACAACATCTGAGCTTCCATCAGCAAGGGAGGCGATGATTTTGTCATAGTCTCCATCAGTACCTATTTCAAAAGACTTTGTAACACATACTCCTTCCAACTGTCCAATGGATTTGAGAGTAGAAAGACCACTCTTACCATAAACACTATTAGAGCCTACAGCTTGCAGATAGTTGAACCCAAGAGACTTGCTGAGTCGTAAAACTGCAGTTGCTGTTGCATCATCACCTTGCACTGTTCGGAAAAAGGTACTGAACTCTTTTAAACTGGTAGCTGTAGCAGAGGGGCTGACTATGGGAACATTCAGTGGTTCAAGAAACTCTGAAGATTCTGATGAACTAAAAGAGTCATCCGTCAACCATGCTGAAATTTTCTCGGACATCAATCCTTTATACATATCGTTCTTCATCCAAGCATAATCGAAGAGGCCCGAGTAGATGCCCGATAACAGGCCTGTAGGACGTGTTGCTGTTTGGCAGTGATCTAACGCCAGTCCACCAATTGTTAAATTTCCTTTTAAACTGACTGGGGCCTTTCCGCTATTTACCTTGAATACAAGAAGAAAAATAAATGTAAGAAAACAGGAACAAGGTACCTTGTTTGGGCTTGTTTTATTAATAATTAATTAATTATATTCATTGAACATCAACGTATAATCAAGGGAAATAATTAAGTTGACCTTTGGCAAAACCTTATAAATGTAGAAGACTAAAGCAGCATAATTTTAAGATTTTTGTTGTGCTTTCTATGTGAGCATAGAGCATTAAAATATTTCCAGGAACGTCCGAGGTTGATTGATGTTAAACAAGACAAAAAACATACCTGTTCTAGAGCATATAACATCGCTGCAGTAAATTGAAATCCATTGGTCAGTCTGGCCTCACCACACTGATAAGGACTTATACCACTAGAACTGCTGACAGCAAAGAGTCCACCGATCAAGATATCGGCTGGTTGGTAAATAAATGGTTCATACTTGTAGATGTAATGACAGGCTTTACATGGTCCAGTACAAGAGGCTTTCACAGATGTTGGAGTAACAAAATTATTGGGGTTAAATCTTGTAATATGTCTTGTCTTAGTATCAAAGTCAGCAATCTGAAAATGAACAACATAAATTAACTCATTCTCAATTATCCATAGAAGTCAGCATTCATCTGCAGCAATTGGAATTGAGGTAATAGAAATCCGAAGTGCAGAATTAGAATGCGCCAGATCAATTCCATCAATGGGTTGTAATACTTAATTCCATATTACCTTTTTTTAAACGAGCTCTATCAAATTACCCCAAAACAATGCTCATTGAATACTTGTGTTCAATGTATAAGCTTAAGTCAAAGATTCAACTCACCTCTCGGTTTTGCTGGTTTAAACGGTAACTCATAAGTTTAAAATCAGTCATAACTTTGCCATCTTCTATTTGGAATGTGTTCGATGCACCATCTTGGAATTCTTCATTTTGTAATGCATCGTAGATATGTTTTGCATATTTGCTACTACGGAAAGCAGCACATACTCCGTTGTAATTCACACCACAAACTTGAATGAGAGTCCGATCTAATGCCCGAGCCATTGTGTAAACAGAGTTAATTATGAATGGGACAATAAGCTTCTGCTGGTATTCAGGTGAATTTGTTATTGAACCACCGCTACATGAATCCAGATAGTTGTTAGTATTAGAAGATCCAAGGTAACAATCCATAGTGTTTTCATACCATCTGGTGAACACAGGGTCAGAGCGAATTTGACTCAAACTATACTGGTTGAGAAATGAATCAAATTCAGAATTGCGGTTAACATCAGGTGTTATAACCAAACTACCATTGGTCTCTGGTCCATATGCTTTAGTAGCGTCTCTGTTGAAAGTCGTAGAAACACCCATCAGTACGAATTCCCCAGCTGCATTTTTTCTACGCATACTGTACAACAAAGAACGGATGTCCTCAGAGTGCCCAAGCACCATTACGACATTGGCTTGACCGGCCATTGATCTTATCCTATCAACAAGTTCATGTGATTGATCAAACTGATGCTCAGCTACGACACATATGGAGACGATAGCAGCTCTCTTTTTCAATTCTCTGACAAAGTTTGTGAAATATTCATCAGGTTTAGCAACAATCTGAACATTGCTCCATCCAAATCGTTGTAAAGAGGCGATCATTGCGTCAATAACGATATCATCAGACGGATAATATCGGGTATAGTATGGGTACATTTCTTTATTGTCCATCTCAGTGATTCCAATATCAGCAACTTGAAATAGGCTGTTGACTCGAGCTACCCTTTTAGTCACATCATATGTTGAGGTGTGAATCACTGCTTTGATTTTACTAGGATCGATTGGTTTACCTCGAGAATCGCTGTAGACTTTACGACCTCCCCATAAATTTGACACAAAGCTTTCAGCAGCAACACTGTCATAGCAAGGATCAGCCATCAGCATTCCCAGAGTTACACCGCGTAATATATTTGGGAATCTAGTTTTGACAGACTGAAGAGCATATTTCAATGCTAGTGATATCTGAGATCCATTGTCGGAGATAGCTCCACAAGTTAATGGATCTGGTCCAGGTAATCTCGAACTTGTTATCATTAATAGATCAATGTCTCCACCAGAGTAGGAGTAGGTTAGTTCCCGACTAGGTAGATAGCAGTTAGAGCAGCCTATGGCAGGACATGTTGAGGTTGGAATGGTTGTCAGTTCGTTTTGTCTTGTGGCATCAAAGAATTTAACTTTGTTAGTATCAAGTGAGATAGTAGATTTTACATAACCACCGACCTAAAAAATTAAACTTTCGTCTAATTCGATAATCTGTTTAAACATTGAACTTATATAAAAACGACCTTAAAGGCATATTTTGTGATGAAGTGTCAATTAAACCAAGTAAAACAGCTGATGACTATAGCCGAGTGATATTTGGTGTTCGGTTGATGTGGGCGCAAAATGCCTCGCATAAACATAAACCTTCATACCTATGATAGTCGAGCGTTTCTGAAACTAAGGTATGATTGGTCGAACGGATAGTGAAGGTGCTCCTTTAACATACTACGTGAATCTGAAGCTTACTAAATAAAAATAATCTACTCACGTTTTCGAATCGGAATGATCCGCTGTCACGATTGTAATTCCAATAGGTAAAATCCGAATTAACAGGATTTCCATTTACATCAAATGCAATTCTTTGACCAGTCATAGCTGTCATACCATCATCACTATCAAATGTATAATCTACAGTCTTGATGTATGTGTTAAGGAATTGTGTAGGTGTCATCCTTCTCAGGCTATCACATACTCCCGATGCTCCACCACAAAGGGCCTGATGAGCATCTTTCAGAGCCTTAGCATAAGCATACACAGCTTCGATAGTACTATCTACATAGTAATTCTGGTAGTAGGAATAGCCAGGTTTGTACCATTCACTAAACCAAGGATTCCCAACAGGATCGGTTCCACTGTTTTGTTTTGCTCCCACCAGATTCATGAAATATGTTTCGAATTCCGATATCACTGTCTTTTGACTCTTGACCACAATTGTTCCTCTTTGACTCCTACAAAACAATCCAAACAATTAAAGAATGGAAATGATTGCAAAAATCATTCTCTAAA